CTGAGCTCAGCAGGTCAAGGCTGCAGTGGCTGTGAGTGTGCCACTGCACTCCAGCCTGGGGGACAGAGTGAGACTCCAACTCAAAAAAAAAAAAAATGTTGGGAAGGGAGCAGGGTGTGGTGGTTCATGCCTGTAATTCCATACTTTGGGAGGCAGAGGTGAGAGAATTGTCTGAGCCCAGGGGTTCAAGACCAGCTGGGCAACTTGGTGAGTCTCTTCTCTACAACAACAATAACAACAACAACAGCAAAAAAGCCAGACATGGTGGTGCATGCCTCTGGTTCCAGCTATTTGGAAGGCTGAGGTGGAAGGATTACTTGAGCCCAGCAGATTGAGGCTGTGGTGGCTGTGAGCATGCCACTGAACTCCAGCCTAAGCAACAGCCTGAGACTCTGACTCAAAAAAAAAAAAAAAAATTGGGAAAGGTAGCGCGCGCCTGTAATTCCGGCTACGTGGAAGGCTGAGGCGGAAGGATCGCCGGAGCCCAGCAGGTCGAGGCTGCGCTGGCCGGGAGCGGCCACTGCACTCCAGTCTGGGCGACAGAGTGAGACTCCAACTCAAAAAAAAAATAAAATGGACAACAGATTAAGAAAATGTCATGGAGCCGGGCTCGGTGGCTCAGCCTGTAATCCCGCACCTTTCGGAGGCTGAGGTGAGTGGATTGCCTGAGCCCGTGGGTTCGAGACCCGCCTGGGCAGTGAGGCCTCATCTCTACAATAAATAAAAAAAATCAGCCGGGCGTGGTAGCGCACGCCTGTAATTCTGGCTACTCGGAAGGCTGAGGCAGAAGGATCGCCAGAGCCCAGCAGGTCGAGGGTGCGGTGGCCAGGAGCGGCCACTGCACTCCAGTCTGGGTGACAGAGTGAGACTCCGACTCAAAAAACAAAACAAAACAAAACAAAAAAAGATCCTCCATCATAGAATAACCTCACTTTCTAACAGCATCCAATCCAGAACAAAGGCCTACTTTTTTTTTTTGAGTCTACGTCTCATTCTGTTGCCCAGGTTAAAATGCAGTGGCATGCTCATGGCCACCCCAGCCTTCTGGACCTGCTGGCCTCAGGTGATCCTTTCACTTCAGCCCTTCAAGTAGCTGGAACCACAGGCCACCATGCCCAGCTAATATTTTTATTTATTGTAGAGATGAGGTCTTGCCATGTTGCCCAGGCTGATCTCAAATCTGTAGGCTGTCCTCTTGCCTCTGCCTTCCAAAGTGCTGGGATTACAGGTGTGAGCCACTGCATCTGGCTATGCTTACTTCTTTAACCCTCTCTGAAATCACTGAACACAACCCCCAATCTTGTATGTCTTTTCTTCCTTTCTTCCTTCATTATTATTTTTTTTTGAGTTGGAGTCTCACTCCGTCACCCAGACTGGAGTGCAGTGGCCGCTCCCGGCCACCGCAGCCTTGACCTGCTGGGCTCCGGTGATCCTTCCGCCTCAGCCTGCCTAGTAGCTGGAACTACAGGTGCGCACTACCACGCCCAACTAATTTTTTGATTTATTGTAGAGATGAGGTCTCGCCAAGTTGCCCAAACTGGTCTCGAACCTGTGGGCTCAGGCAGTCCTCTCACCTTGGCCTCCCAAAGTGCTGGGATTACAGGTGTGAGCCACTGTGCCCGGTCCTGTAATATCTTTTCCAACACCCTTTGAACAAGCTGCCCCATGGTTCCCCATGATGTGGATTCCCCCTCATTGGCACGAGTTAATAAATCCAACTATGTAAGCTACCAGTATGTTCCTGGTGGTCTTGGCTGGAGGGTATTGATGTATTTACTTAGAAAATCCAAGAGAATCATTGAAAAGCCTTGAAACTTAATAAGAGAATTGAGCGGGATAACCAGAAACAGGGCTGGAGATAATAAATACAAAGATGAATAGCCTTTCTTTACAG